ACCCCTCCGCCGCCCATTCCCCCTGCACCCATGTTTCCTCCGCGCACGCTTCCTCCGCTCATGCCTCCTCCGCCCATACCTCCACCACCCATCCCTCCCCCGCCCATTCCCCCTCCGCTCATGCTTCCTCCGCCCATTCCCCCTCCGCCCATACTTCCTCCGCCCATTCCGCCTCCGCCGATACCTCCTCCGCCCATCCCCCCTCCGCCCGCACTACCCGGTTGTCCGCTCATCCCGCCACTTCCTTGCGAGCCAAACCCGCCCTGCCCGCTCTGCCCGCCGCCCGTCGCGCCACTTCCGCCGCCGCCGCCGGTCCGGGGGGGCCGGAAGAAGGACCAACTGCCGCCTGTTCCCGTTCCCCCCACCAACCCGCCGAACCTCCCCGCGAAACGCGGAAGGCCGAGCGAGCGCGCGCTGCACGCGGCGTGATCGACGGCCGCGAAGCAAAGGAGCGCGACGAGCGCGAGGGCGGGGACGACGCGGGACGACGCGAGGCGAGGCGCCATCATGGCGGGTGGCGCGGATTGCTGAAATAATAGCGAGCAACTAGAAAAAACGAAAAAAATGGAGTGTCGCAGCTGCAACAAATGGAACCTTGTTTCGACTTGAATGCAAGTCGAATGCAAGGAGGGAGGCGAATGCGGGAAGGCTGAGAGGCAGCGCTGAGGAATGCGTAGAGCGAGGTGGCTCTTTGTACTTGCCCTGCCATCGCCGCCGCTGCCATGCGCCCAAGGCGCTCGACGTGCACGCGTTAGGAGAAATCGATGCGTTGGTTGACTACTGGGCGAGACGAGGAGGCAGATCTGGGAGTCAACGCGATCCAGTCAACGTGAAAAGGGTGGGCAGGGCAAGGGCAGGTGAAGATAGCGGTGCGGGACTGTTGACTGACGCTTGGGCGAAAGTTGGCGAACGGGTGAGCGAGTCAAATTCCTCGTTAAGAGTTTGTTTGACATTTAGTTAAGATTCTGTCTGATAAGCATGTCACGCTATAAAACTTGCAGCGTTTTCATTTGAGAGGGTTCCGATCACAAGATTCCCAAAGCTACTTTTTGCCAACCCTTCAACCACCCCTCCCAATCTCTTCCCTTTTCCCCTTTTTAATGGTTCCACCATAGATCATTATTCAATTCGTAAGGGATCTATATCAGTTGCTTAATTGACTAAATATCTGGATCTGTTGTTGTCACTACTACAATCCATAGAGGAGTTAGTTACAATCTTGCTCGGGAATGATTGCAGGTAGTACACTGTGGAGGTGATGATTAGTGGCACAAGTCAGAGGTATTATTACAAAAGTGATTATAACGAAGGAATAACAAATAGTTAAACATCGTCACCACGGCTTTCTCTCTCTCTCTCTCTCTCTCTCTCTCTCTCTCTCTCTCTCTCTCTCTCTCTCTCTCTCTCTCTCTCTCTCCCTCTCTCTCTCTCTCTCTCTCTCTCTCTCTCTCTCTCTCTCTCTCTCTCTCTCTCTTTCTCTCTCGAACGGTCGTTGCATTAATCAGAAGGTGTTACAAAGGAAGATGCAAACGCAAGAAAAACAAACAACAAACCAGAATCCTACCTACCATACCTACTCCTACCCACTCCCGCCCCTCTGTCCGACCCTAGTGGTCGAACGGGGGCTCAATTAGTTGGTGCAACTGCCCCTCGCCGAGGGAGTCAAGGGGCCCCTGCATGCCTAGCTCATCCGCAGCCAAGGCCTCGTTGGTCTTCGAGCGGAGGGCGTTGGCCTGTGCCAGTTAGAGGCACATGCTGCAGTGCTAGCGGTATTTCGTCAGTACACAGGATGCCCAACCAGTGCACGCGCATTTGGTCTGCCCGCGCTCGACAGCCTGCCCAATTGCAAGTAGCACCAGCCAGTTGCACGCTCGATACAAGCCCCTATTTTGATCGCAGCCGTTAAACAAACAGCTTATCGCGCTGACATCCGTCCGTTCGTAAGATATTTTGAAGAAGCTGGTTACATTTCTTCACCTGCCCACTACAGTCCCGATTTTGCCCGTGGCGAACGTTGGCGAGCTGGCGATTTAGGGCTGCGCACTAGACACCCAAATGACCGAAAATTTCGTGCAAGTCAAGCGAGCATCCTGTGTAGCTTGGTGTCAGAATGAGGAATGGATGATGCATTGATGTTGGTTGGGGTACATATAGCTAACCCTAAGTTTTGTACCCCCTAAGACAAACCTCACTATAGGCTACAACATTTGACACACCCCCATAGCCTAAGTGAGGGGTGTCTAGCAGAACCAAACGAGTACGGTCACAAGACCAGTCCAAGAAACGAAGCTCAGGGTGGATCACAACGTCACCACACAGTCTGAGCACAAACAACAGTGGCCACAAGGCCAGTCCAAGAAGTAACAGAGGTATATAGAAAGCAAAGTAAACAGTACACTCAAGCCTAAGCAACACGAGAACCAGTGTCAACAAGGCCTAACTGCACACAGCACCTCTGGTGGTCACAAGGCGGAAGCGCCTTGGTGAAGATGTCTGCAGTGTTGGCCTCGGACTCCACAAACTCAAAGCGAGCCTGTCCACGCCTCTGCAACTCTCGCAGAAGAAAGTACCTGACGTGAATGTGCTTCACTCTGCTCTCCAGTCGTGGCTCTCGACAAAGGAGAATAGACGCCTTGTTGTCAGTGAACAAGGTCGGTGCAGAGCTCGGCCGCTCACCAAGGTCGGTGAGCAAGAAGGTCAACCAACGCAGCTCCTGTGCCGCCATGGCACCAGCGTAGATCTCAGCCTCAGCTGTAGAGGTCGAGACCGAAGAGGAGCGCGTGGACCGCCAGGAAACAGCTCCAGAACCCAGGCTGAAACAGTACCCCTGAGTAGACCTGTGAGTCTCAGCGTCGTCAGCGTAAGAGGAGTCACAGTGACCAGTAAGTACGACAGACTGCTGCCCTCCAAGAACTAGCCCCACGCCTGACGTCGTCGCTAGGTACTTCGCCACCCTCACAGCTGCTGTCCAGTGAACAGGACGGTGTCTCCCTGGCGCAACAAAGCGCGCAAGAACGCTGAGAGGGAAGGCGAGGTCCGGGCGAGTACAAGTCATCAGGTACATGAGGCAACCCACAAGCTCTGCGTAGGGACCACTAGGCTCGAACGGCTCGTCAGGAAAGGGTCCAGTGAGTCTGTGGTCAACAGCAAGAGGTGTGCGCTGTACTGTGGAGTGCTGAAGCCCGAACCGCTGAAGGACCTGCTGCACCATGTGCGACTGTGAAAGTGTAATGGTGCGAGCAGCTCTGTCCCTGGTGATCTGCAGGCCAAGGTAGTGGCGCAGCTCACCAAGATCAGTGCAGGTGTGTCTCTTCTGCAGTTCGGACTTCACGTGTGCCAAAGCAACCCTGTCAGGGGTGGCGAAAACAAGGTCGTCAACGTAGACCAGAACAAAGAAAGGTGTGGGGCCACGACGAACGAACAGCGACGGGTCAGCAGAAGACGGCTGGAACCCAAGGTCAGACAGGGTAGAACGCAGGGTGTCGTGCCACTCACGAGGAGCCTGACGAAGACCGTAAACCGGTCGCCTCAGCCTCCACTGGGTCCCAGGAGGGAAAGAGCCAGTGAAGGCAGAGGGACGACGCAACCAGACCTCCTCGTGAAGACTGCCCTGAAGGAAAGCAGTAGAGAAGTCAAGAGAGTGTAACTCGTAGTCTCTCTGTGCTGCTACGTGTAGTAACACCCGAAGAGTGGTCATCTTCGGGGTGGGCGCGAAGGTCTGAAAGAAGTCAACTCCCTCGCGCTGACTGAAACCTCTAGCCACGTAGCGTGCCTTGAAGACCGGAGGAGATCCCGGTGGCCGCTTCACCCTGTAGATCCACATGCCGTCGACTACGTTCGCCCCCGGAGGGGGAACCTCATCGACGTAGGTGCCTGTGGATCTGTAGGAGGCCATCTCTGCGTCCATGGCAGCTCTCCACTGAGAGGCCCAAGGCCCTGACACTGCCTCAGCGTAAGTGCGAGGAGTCGGAATGTCAAGGGCGTCGGGGTCACCCTCAGGGGCGAGGAGCATGGCACAGAGATGAGGGGAAGCGGCGGCCAGGAACTCTAGCTCAAACTGCCTGTCCTCTAGGGCGTCACAGCCAAGGGCAGACACACCCCCGACGGCCAGAGGACTGGAAGGAGGAGCAGCCACAAGAGCGGTGGCGAAGTCAAGGCGGCGGGTAGAGGCAAAGTCAGTGACTGCGGCAGTAAGAGCGGACACAGAGGACACAGAGGCACGAGGGTGAGTAACAAGCGAGGCGAGAACACGAGAGAGAAGAGGACGGTACGTGCGGTAGTAGTCTGTGACAGGAGTAGGGAGCGACGCAGTGAGAGCCGACTCAGGAGGAGACGGAAGCACAGACGGAGACGGACGAGGTGGACTAGAACGAAGTAAGGCAGTACGAAGGTCAGTGAAGGGAACAGGAGACGAGGGACGAGCACGAGGGGAGCGACGAGAGGCCCAAGTCTGAGAAGAAGGAGGGGACAACGAAGACTGAGAACGAGGGAAAACAGCGGGAGAGGGGTCAGGAGGAGGAAGCGAAGGACCAGAGACGGGAGGAGAGGGGGAGGAGGAAGGAGAGGGAGAGGGGAGACCAAGGGTCCGAAGACCCGAGACAGGAGGAGGAGACGGCAGCTGCTGCTGCTGCGGCTGCTGCGGCTGCTGCTGCTCCAGCGGCTGCTGCCCCTGCTGCTGTCGCTCCTGCTCCTCGAGCCGCTGCAACTCTCTCTCCTCTCTCTCCAACTCCAGCTGCTCCTCACGAGCACGGCGAACACGAGCCTGGAACCTGGTCGGGTAGGGGTGGGGGGAAGGAGTAGTGTCCGGGGCAGCGGCAGCCCCAGAGTCGACCTCCGAAGCACCAAGCACACCACCCCCAGAGGCAGCACCAACACCAGCTCCAGACCCAGGCTCTCCAGAAACCGAAGGAACACCCTCACCCCCAGACGCAGCACCCCCAGACTCCGCACCAGCACCCCCAGACTCCGCACGACCAGTACCAGCCCCCGGAAGACAAGAGTCCTCTGCAACCCGCGGCTCAGCTCCAACTCCAGCACCCCCAGAACCAGAGACCTGTACAGGGACAGTCGCAGGACCAACCTCCCGAGAGGGAGCACCTGCAGGAGGCGGCGAGGAAGACTGTGGGGAGGGAGGCTGTACAGGGGGGGCTACCGAAGGGGGAGGGCTAGCCTGAGACACACCAGACGGGGCTGGACCAGGGGGGGGAGGCTGTACCGGGGGAGCAGGCGGGGG